GAAAAAATTCCTTCGTACCTAAAAGAAGAATATTGATATGAGTTGACAGTCACCTTTCGGTGTCGGAAATTAAATTTTGATTTTCAAAAACAAAAAAACAAATTTTGTCTTTATAAAAAAAAGAGTATAAACTACCTGAAACAAAAATAATCGTCCCCACGAGTGCCAGCCCATATCTATCAAATCATAGTCCAACGAAATACAACCAAAAAACAGCGACGTTCTTCTAAAAAGAGCAAATAATTTGAATTACAGCAATTATTAAAATAAAGAAAAAACATTCATAACCAAGCCAATGAATATACAAAAATAAAAAACAAAGATTTCATAGACAAATTATCGTTTTCTTATCTACATGTATTCTTCCAAAATCCAAATAATTGAACAAAATAGATGAATAAAAGTTGGTAAAAGCATTGATTCAGATTCCTCCCACTTTAGGATAACGACAGTTCATTTCAAAAAGATATTCTCTACAATTGGATTCCACAAGATGCTTTCTTTAATTTTTCAAGAGATCAATATTTTTACCTAGCAGTTTCATTCACAAAAATCATATCTACGGTTTTGGAAATTTTATACATTTTCGTGGCTACCGAATATAAATAGTTTTAAATATTTTTGCAGCTACCAAATGTATATAGTTTCAGCTAGGGGTGTACATAGGTCGGGTTGGTTCGGATTTTACAATTACCAAATCAAACCAATTGTGTCGGATTATTAAATATAAAGACCAAACCAAACCAATAAAACTCGGGGTTTCTCGGGTTTTTGGGTTATTCGGACTTTTTCATATTTTTTTCTGGTAAAATCTTCGTAGAACAAAACATATAAATTGTGCTCAAAATATTTCTTTAATCCTAGTAAGATACAACTATATAAAGTATTTTCCAAGAAAATTATTACAAAATATGAGATGTGTCATGGTATTATCCTAAAATATTCAACAATAAAGACAATAAAATTATGTAATATAAGTATTGATAATTAAAAAGCCATAATAAAAATAAACATAATCTAAAAGTACCAAGTCATGCTAAAATAAGTAGACTAATAAGGAAGTATTAGTTACATGACTAAACGCTAAAGAAAAAATAAAAATAGGTTATGCATTTTTATCTAAATTATTGCAAAACAAAAAATAGATATTCAATACATTCCCGTTCGTAGCATTGAATTAAATGTCTTTTGTTAGCATTAGTATTGATTTGATTTTTGTTTGGGCTTTTGTTAGCATTATTCAATTTACTAATGTTAATGGCTATAAAACTTATTGGAACATTCAATAGTTCTAAGTCCAACCTTGAAATAATACCTTAAAAGATAAAATTATGAATTTTTTTAAGAAATATTTATAAATTACATCACAATAAGTATATTTATATATTAAATATATTTAAAATTTCTATATATGTAATGTCAGGTTGGTTTGGTTTCGGTTTGACTTTCTTTAGTTAAAACCAAACCAAACCAATTATGGTCGGGTTTTTTTTCCCAACACCAAACTAAATCAAACCAAACTATAATCATTTTTTTTTCTCGATTTGACTCGGATTATCGGGTTGGTGCGATTTGTCGGTTTTCTTTGTACACCCCTAATTTCAGCTACGGACAAAAAGTGATCTTTGCCCTTAAAATTAATTAATGCAGGCAAATTACTCCAAGTCCATGGCCTTTTTGGTAAGTGCATTATGGTATCCTTAATGTATATTGAAAAGTGAAATGTATCTAAAATAATCTAAGTCGTAGTTGTTTGTAGGGAAGGACAGGCTTAAATGGAGCGAGGCCGGGTAAGGCCTAAGCGACACAGAGCCAGTTTACGCACACCTCTATAATATGTTTCTTTTTATAGTAGTAATATCTCGATTATTTCATCAAGTACGTACTTAATGTCGAATAATACTGCTCACTGAACACATGTTAATATGTTTTATCCTAGAGCTCAAGAGTTAGTTGTAGAAATGACACCAAGTAGCCACTCTAAAAAGCTGCTATTTAGGAATTATTCATTGCGTCCTGAATTTCAGTTTTTCAGTTTAATTTTTATATCTTGAATTGTCCTGAAGATAGGATTTCTAATTTAAAATTTCAAGACAAAATAAGTATTGGTTAATCTCTAAATAGCATCCCTGAGAATAGCTATATATGCACTTGCCCTTCAATAGTTCCTTTGCCAATTTTAGTTGTGATAAACAATAACAATAACAATAATATATCCAGTGTATTCTCACAAGTGGACTCTGATCAATTGCGATAAAGTGGAGAAACAAAAATGTTGGTACAAGTCAATTTCATAAGAGACTAAAAATCTGTGATTAAAATTCATAGATTCACTTGAAATGCTCCTTGAACTAGTTATAACAATTTTCCAGTTCTTGAATTAATTAAGCATTTACAGAAACTAATAGTCAAAGCAATATTTAGACAAATATTGAGCTTCAGAATTTATAAATACTAGAATATGTCTAAATCGCCACTTAAGATTCTTTCTTCCTTGTTAGCTATATTGAAAAATGAAAATTCGAAAGTGTGTAAATAATTCTTTTGGTGAGAAATTTTAATGAAGGAAACATAAAGAACAAAAGAACAACAAAAAGAATCCAAATTCACGAATTTGGATATTTTCTCCTTCTTTCCTATTTGTCAGTTCACATGCCTTCTTTTACCGAGAATATGATACAATACATAAGATCTTTCTATCCTTAATTAGATTTTTTTAATTTTAAGCTTAAAAATAAAAAAATTCATGGAGAGCAGTACTTCTCTGATAATTTGATACAAATNCATTTTCTTCTAAGCATACAAAGATAAAAGCTATACATTATGTTGTATCCTCTAATCCCTCTAGCTAGGGTAGTAATCTAGCTGCTTCAACACTTGCGCCAACTTCTTCCTCATTCTCCCTTTGCAGTGTATGTCTTGAATAATCTGCCTCACTATAACAGTTGTTGGCCTTATTTTTTGTTGGAAAATTTTGCTATTCCTATCTAACCACACATAGTACACACTACCTGCTAGGGCCATGCGATATATTTCTGCTTGGGCACTATTGCCAGATGCATTTTTTTGAGCCTATTCAACTTCTTCCTTCCATCCCATAGCTTGTCTCTGAATTCCCTGTCAGTCGAGTATTTGTTGCCATATTTGAGAAGTGGCCGAACATTTAAAGAGCAGATGCTGAATATCTTCTTCCTCACTGTCACATAGTGCACATGTTGTGTCATACCCCATATTCCATTTCTTCAATCTCATCTTAGTGTAGAGTCTATCCTGTAGTGCAAGATACAATATGAACAACCATTTAGGATAACCCTGGTTATTACAGATCAATTTCCTCCATTGCACTTTAGGATGTTTGTCTCTCATCTTGTTATACACTGTCTTGATAGCATATTTCTCACCTTTTAGGAACTCCTCTATAGTTACCCCTGCTTCCTCCAAGTACTGCTTAGCTTTTAAGATTTTCTGTATTAACCATGATGCTTGTGGAGCATAGCTTTCCCATACTTGAGCCCCTTTTATATAGTAACTATGCACCCATTGAACCCACAACCTATCTTTCTTCTTACATAAGTTCCAGAAATGTTTAAGAATATCAACTTTATTCCATGTGTATATATCAACTACGTTGAGACCCCCTGTTGATTTTGGTAAGCAAATTTTATCCCATGCTATTAGAGCCTTCTTTGAGCATTCATTATTCCCATTCCATAAGAATCTTCTACATATTTGTTCAATCTTTTGCATCACTTTCTTTGGTAATATGAAAATTGCGACCAAAATTGTTGAATAGCTATAAGCACACTTCTAATCAACTGCAATCTCCCTGCATAAGATAGCATCTTTGCTGTCCATGAAGTCAGTCTCCCCACCATCCTTTCCAGAAGTGGCTGGCATTGTCCAATAATTAGCCTTTTTGAACTCAATGACACTCCCAAGTATCTGAAAGGTAGAGTTCCCACAGAGAAACCTAGGTCCTTTATAATTTGATCTTGAATCTGTTCTGGTACCCCCTCCAAAATACACATCATTCTTCCCTTGATTTGCAATTAATCCAGAAGCCATAAAGAATTGCTGGAATTGTTTATATAATAGCTGAGTAGATACCACATCCCCTCTATAAAACAACAACAAATCATCTGCAAACCCTAGTGTATTATGTCCAGTTTATCACATCTAGGATGATAGTTGAAATCTGAATTTTTTGCCAAAGTCTTTAATGATCTGCTAAGGTATTCCATGGCAATCACAAACAGGCAAGGTGACAAAGGGTCACCCTGCCTTACTCCTCTCTTAGCAGAAAATTGGACACTTGGTTTACCATTTATAATAATAGAGTATGATACTGCTGATATACACACCATGATCCATTTCACAAATATATCTGGAAAGTTAAGTGCATGTAAAACTTGCTCTAAAAACACTCATTCAATAGAGTCATAGGCTTTTTGCATGTCAATTTTGATCATGCATCTTGGTGACACCCCTTTCCTCCTATATCCTTTCACTAGCTCATGACTGAGGATTATATTATCTGTTATAAGTCTTCCAAGAACAAATGCAGCTTGACTCTTATCAATGATGCTATCCATGACTCCCTGTAGTCTACTGGTAATCATTTTGGAGATGATCTTATATAATGTAGAGCAACAAGAAATAGGTCTATATTGTTTCACTGATGTAGGGGTTTTAATCTTAGGCACCAGTGTTATAGATGTACAGTTTATCGGTTGATAAAGCTTCTGAGTATCAAAGAACTCCAAAACAACTTCAGTTACCTCTTCTCCAATCGTGACCCATGTTTTCTTGAAGAATAGTGAATTGAATCCATCTATCCCTGGAGCTTTGTTATCATCTATCCCCTAAAGTGCTTGCCAAACTTCTTCTCTGTTAAATGGCTGGATAAGCTGCATTTGTTGCTTCCTTGAAAGCACAGGTCCCCTCCTCATATCATTTAAATTTACAGCAAACAATATAGGATTTGCAGCCCCAAATAATCCCTAATAGAAGTTTAGTATCTTCTCTTCTATTCCTTTCTCTATTTGGACAATATCCCCTACTGCATTTGTAAGTGCTTTGATCTGGTTCTGAGCTCTCCTGTTCTTTATGCTGACAAAAAAGTAAGCTGAGTTAGAGTCTCCTAGATTACGCCATTGGACTCTAGACTTCTGTTTATAAATGCTTTCCTTTACTACATCCCATTTCTCCAGCTGTAATCTTAGCTCTTTTTCCACTTCAAAATAGTGGGAATTCTGATTAGGAGTTCTCATCTGTTGTTGTATTATTTGAAGCTCATTCCTGATGCCTTTAATTTTGTCAGCAATCCCAGAATACTCCTTTGAATTTATGCCCTTCATTGCTTGTTTCATATGCTTCAGCCAGACTTTTTTCATGTATATTGCATTGGTATTTATCTGCCAATTATCAGCTACTATATTCCTAAAGTTAGGATCATCAGCCAAGCAATTCATAAATCTGAATGGTCTAGTTGTTGCCTTCTGTTGTCTTCCCAATTCAATATATAAGGGCGGGTGATCAGAAAAATATGGGTCTAGAACATGAACTTGAATAGGAGGCATCTTGTTCATCCACTCTCCATTTACTAGTGCCCTGTCAATTTTGCTAAAAACATAACTGTTTGTCCATGTAAATGACTTCCATATTGCCTTTAGTTCAGTCATACCAACATTTTCTACAAATTCTCTAAAATCCCTTACTCATGGTCTTGCACCACAGTTCCATGTACCATGTCCTCTACATCAAGAATAGCATTGAAGTCTCACATTACTAGTCATGGTTCTTGTTGTCTGCTTTCTATCTCTCGAAGTTTCCTCCATAATTCCTTTCTATCCTGCACTGTATGGAGGCCATATACAGTAGTAAAGTGATAGGTTATTGCATTTGCAGCACATTTGATTTCATCTTGTATGTATTGACTATGTACATTGATTTCCTTCACTATAGCAACTTTTGGATCCCATAATAGCAATATTCTCCCCTTATTATTCAAAGAAGTGTTTGAGATCCTTTCCCATGTATGTACTATTTTGTTTATCACTTGCCCCTCTTTACATTCCTTTACTCTATGTTCAATAATAGCTATGACATTAACTTTATTCACCTTGATAAACTCCCTTAACTCCTTTTGCTTATACACCCTGTTCACCCCCTCACATTCCAAGTGATAACTTTCATCTTAGTAATGGAGGGAAATGGTCTTGACTACCTGCATCCCCTTGGCTACTCTGTCGCCTTTCATACTGTTTGTCTTGTTGTATTACTATGACTTGGCCTTCATCAGCGCACCTTGCTAATGAGCTAAAGTCATTAGTTGTATCTACCTCTCTATCTGTGTTACCCCCATTTTTGGCCATTTTGTTAGCTGATTTTGTTTTCACCATTGTCCATCCTTCTGCTTGTGGTACTGTTTCATTAGCCTACCCCTTGTTCTTATCATCTTTTCCACCATTTGCTTGCCCATTTGTTTTCTGTACTTGTTCATTCTTTTTGTCACTTATCTTCACTTGATCAGTTCTCCTCCAGATTTGCATAGGCTTTACCTGTTTTCCTCTTTGGCCTTGTACTGGCTGCTTCTGCACATTTGTACTCTTGCAATTGTGACCTATTTGTAGACATGATGCACAATACTCAGGCTCCCAATCATATTGCACTTCCTGTTCAAATACCCCTCCCTTAGGGGCCTGTACAACAATACTCTTAGGAAGTGGTTTAGTAATATCCATTTCAATAAAGACCCCTGCATATGATATGCGTGCAATATTGGTGGTGCACTCATCTGCATATATAGGGGTACCTAAACCACTACTAATTTTACTTAGTGACTTCATACCCCAGCAGCTTAGAGGAAGTTTAGGAAACTTCACCCAAATTGGTATGGTTTTAAGCACTTCATTTTGAAAATTAAAGTCTGCCGACCATTCCTTCATTATCACAAGTCTATTGTTGATTGTATTTGGGCTTGATAGCAGCACCTTCTCTCTGTCTTCTATGCTTTTGAATCAGATGACAAAATAATCATCATTATAGTAATAAACTTGAGGCTTCTCTGCAAATTTTCACTATGTTACTAAAAATCTCTCCACTGCTCCTATCGATGGTGAGTCTCCAATAACATACAAGATTATAGCCATTTTTCATTTTTCACTCTCCTCTTCTATATCCTCCTGCTCCAATTTTACAATTGTCTTCCTTTCCTAGATGCTTGGTGGAATATATCTCAGATTCATGCCTTTTGAAGCCATCTTACTTCCTGTAACTACACTTGCCGAGGTTTGCGTATTTCCAGTCTTCATTGGCAAACTTCCATTTCTTACTCCCTTTTGAGTATTTTCCTTCTCCTTGTTGTTAGATTCATTATTGCCAGAACCACTACTCTGAGTTTGCACATCATTTTTAACCCAGAGGTACCTCCTGCATGGCAGTTAGTACCGTCACCATTGTTAGTCTTCCTGCATGTGCTTGATTCATCCATATCCTCAATTGATTTCCCCTTCCCAGCTATAGGCGTGACCTCCAGTTCCTGTTTGCTCAATTGATTTTCCTTATCCATTGTTGTTTGCTTTGCAGTAGATCCATGGAGATTTCCTCCACCTGGTGATTTTCCACTTCATCTGTTTCCATCTTCAGTTCCTCAAGCAGCTTGGGATCCGTAATCAGTACCTTATTCACCCGCTTCCGTGGTCTTCCTCGCCCTCCCATTCCGGTAAGCAGCGCACGTTAGTAGATTCACCTAATAGAGCGCCAAGAGAAACGGTTATTGAGAGAGAAAGTTCTCTAAAAGAATTTAAAAGAATGGAGTACTATTTAACCTAAAAAAAATATTTTTAAAAAATGTATTTTTAGTGATAAGTAGTTTGGATTTGGCTAATTAATTTAAAATATACTTTTGAGCAGTAATTGGTATTTGACTAACAACAATAACATACCCAGTATATTCCCAACATGTGGGGTCTGGGGAGGATAGTAAAGGATAAGTAGTACCAAATAATAACAATAAAGAATACAATACATGAGGCAAACAAAACTACCTAATGCAATTTAATGTTTGACTAAATTTTAAAAAAAATGATTCTAAGTACATTTTCTTCAAAAAAAACTTTTCAAAAAATTATTTTTAAGAAAAATTTATTTATTCTACTTCTAAAAATTTGGTTCCGCTTCTACTAAAAAGTATTTTTTTTCTTCTAAAAGCTTGACCAAACACAATAACTTTTTATAAAAATTTTTTTGGTTAAAGAAAGGACTTTTGGCCAAAAAGAAGTTTGGCCAAACAAACTACTAGTCGACGAAAATTTTGGCCAACTAACACTAGTTGTGTGAGGTCTTTTTTTGTCTCACAAATATGTGGTCTCAGAATTTTGTAGACCCAGATATTTAAGATATGGGTCCACAAATATGTGAGATAAAAAAAAGGCTCACACAATTAATGTAAATTGTGCGTAGCACAAAATAAAATCACTCCTAGTCAGACCAACAAATTTCGAAAATCTGATAATTAAAAAAAGTATTTGGCAGTTCACACTTCACACTGTCACTATTAGCTGTCAAACCCAAAAGGGTGCTCTTTAGTAGTTTCCAGGAAACTCAAGGGCACGTGTGTTATCCCATTCTCACATCCCCACGCCCAGCATTTCAATTTATTACATAGCTCCGGAGCTCCTCCACTTCTTCTCCCAACATTGACCTTTACTTCTATAATCCAATTTCTTATACAAATTCTGATGATCATATAGAAGGAAGAAAAAGGAAGTTTTGTATAGAAAGAATATTTTTTTTCCATTTTATAGTCCGAAGAATTCAAGAAATTTTTAGAAAAAATGTGCTCGACAAAGCAAAATCAGAAGCAAAAGCTCAATAAAGAATGGATAGAAGAAGCAATCTCCGGCGGTTCATTAAAGCGGGTCGATTTGAATAACGGAACAAACGGGTGGGCGTCACCACCCGGAGATCTTTTCAAGCTCCGCGGCCCCAATTACTTCACCGAAAAGACAAAAATACCCTCAGGTGAGTGGCTGTTACAGCCAGCCGGAGTCGATTGGCTACGGTCGAGCTCAAAACTCGACCACGTCCTCGCGCGTAGCGACAACCGCGTGATGCAAGCGCTGAAGAAGGCTCACTCACAAGGCGCGTGCTTAAAAACCTTCGTACTCGCCGTGAATCTTCAAATCCCCGGTAAGGACCATCACAGCTCGGTTTTCTACTTCGCCACGAAGGAAAACCGGGCGCTCGAACCCGGTTCACTCCTCTACCGATTCGTTCACGGCGATGACTCGTACCGTAACGCCCGGTTTAAAATAGTGAACCGGATCGTTAAAGGACCGTGGATTGTGAAAACCGCGGTGGGGAATTATTCGGCGTGTATATTAGGCAAAGCTTTAAATTGCTATTATCACAAGGGAGATAATTACTTAGAAATCGACGTGGATATTAGTAGCTCGGCGATTGCGAATGCGATTTTGCATTTGGCTTTAGGGTACGTAACGTCGGTGACGATCGATATGGGGTTTTGTGTGGAGGCGACGACGGAGGAGGAGTTGCCGGAAAAGTTGTTCGGAGCGGTGAGGATTTGTCAAATGGAAATGAGTTCTGCTACTTTTATTGAAACGACGTCGTCGAGGAAGGTAATAGCAAATGGTCATTTTAATAATAGTAGTAGCAAAGTGCAGGCTGAGGACGGCGAAGATGACGAAGAGAGATGATTTTTTTTAAATTTTTTCTGTTGTAATTGTTGGAAAAATTTGATGATGTGAAAATTTTAGTGGTCCCTGGTACAAAAATCTTTGTTGTCAATTTTAATAAAAAGAATTTTTTCATCTCTTAAATTTTACAATATTTTTGTCTAATCATACGATATTCAAAATTTACTTGACTGGATTAATCTAGATTCGTCGATATACTCTTTCTACTAGAATTTCTCGTTCACGATTTCAACTAAGACCTGCAATTAAGGGCGAAGAGTTTCATTATTTTTATTGTCACTCCAACTTATATATTGTTATCTTCGTCTCAGTGAGAAAAACCTGTTTAATATTACGAATTTAGTCAAGTTCTCCAAGTAATATTGGAGAATGGGTATGAATATTGAATTGACGGTTCTTTATGAAAGTTTATCATAGATATGAAAGTAACTTTGGTACAAATTCTGCATTTGTTTTAAATTTTTTACTTAATATGTATAAACTTTTAATTTAGAATTCAATAACTTAAAAATGCTAGAATTCATAAATCATAAATTTTAAATCCTAGCTCCGCCTCTAATGTGGTTCAGGATATGAGAAAAACCTCGCTACGTAAAACTCATCGGCACAAGTGTTGGACTCAGACTGCCCTGGACATAAAAAGTAATTAGTAAAAAGGCCCTATTTCATTTTAATCATTTAAAATTTGTTGATTTCAAATTGTAATATAATTATCATCTATCTAAAGAACAAAAAGAAAGACACAATTTTAGGTGATCCTTCTTTTCAATTAAGCTCTTCATAGAGTAACGTATCATGATTGGGAAACTTATAAATATGTCTCGCAAAGTCTTAGTCAAAAAGTAGATTAAGGACTTTCGTTACATTTTGATTTTCAGTTTTTGGTACAATGAGGAAGTGCGAAGATGTAGAACACCATTTGTGTAATAGAAAGGTTTGGTAAAGGAGAAAAAATGAAACCATTGGAAAAAATGTGTATCCACTTTTGCATCTTTGGTTGAACAATCTGGTTCACATGTACAGAAATATGTAATAGGAAGCATCCTTGACAAACCAAAAGGATTTTGTTGGCCTTAGTTAGGAAAAATTAGGCCATTGGCATGTTTGATACTCCACTTTAAAACGCAATCTAACGTTAATACCTAATTGCCATAGAAGCACCAAGGATGTGGTTATTGATCAATAAAGTGTGTGCAAACAGTGTTTATGTTACACCATATGTTTTCGTATGTTAGAGTATCTGTAAGTCAATTGATGTAAGCTCAGAAATGAGATCAACTTTGAAAGTATGTAAAGTAAGTTAATCCTTTTATAATGGAGGTTACAAATCTTTATGATCATGAATAACGAGTACCAAAAGGGTTGGAAAGCTTAGGCGCTAAATGAATTAAAGAAAATAAGTTTCGTCGAATGTCGACAAGTTTGGAATATTATAACCTATACTTTTGAGGTTAGACAAGGGTGATTAACATGATGATGAGGTTATGTTATGAGTTAGTCTAGTCGTATGATAGTCGTGTGTTATGTTTTTAAGTCAAGCAAGTTATGGAACAAAAGTTGGAAAATGTCATCACAAGTTACATTCAAAAATGAGTTGAAACTTAGGTTAAATGTAGCTGAGCTTTTCTCCCAACATACTTTGAATCAAGGGATGATCTACTTATGAAATTGAAGATCTATGA